CACGCAGACATAACACCTCACACGCCTCGGCCTTTCAGAGGGTGTGTGTAGTCTTGGATGGTTACTGTCGACGTCTCTTTGCTGGTAGACGACGAGGAGTCGGCAATTCGGTAGGCGATAATAATGAAGTGTACGCTGGGTAAGTAGCACAGATAATAAGATACGAGAAGTCTTATACCTTCGCCATCGTAGCCTAAAGTGCTGCGACGCTAGCTAGAAGACGCTCCTAGCAGCTGCAAGGTCCACCTGCCTGAGTATCCCTGCCCTCGGCCGGTCCTAGGCTGACACCACCCGGTCGCTGACCAGGCCGGGTGTGGCGGGGGCCGACCTGATCCAGAGGGAGCTTCTTCGCGATGGCGGTGAACAGTTCTTGCACGTTCTCCGCCGTCTTGGCTGAGGTTTCGAAAAACAAGAGACCGGCTTCGTTGGCATATGCTTCCGCCTCGGTCGTCGGAACCGCACGCTTATCAGGCTGTTCGTTTACCAAATCTAGCTTGTTCCCGGCGAGCGCGATGATGATGTTTTCATTTGCTTGTCGTTGCAGTTCCTTCACCCACGCCTTCGCCTTGTCCAGTGATGCCTATAATCCCTAGGGGTCAGTCGAGCCACGGCACCTGCACGGCTGTAGGACAAAGCACGTACGGATTGGGTGATATCATAGACAACTACAGCGCAGTTGGCATTTCGGTAGTACATGGGTGCCAACGACTTATATCTCTCCTGGCCGGCGGTATCCCAGATTTCGAACTTGACAGTGGTGCTCTCGTCGAGGGATATGGTTTGTGTGAGAAAGGCAGCGCCGATGGTAGATTCTCTGTATGAGTCAAATTGATCCTGGACGACGATTGTCATGAGAAACCGATCTTCGTAACCTGTTATACTTTAAGAGAGAGGGGTTCGTGAAATACCTTAACGAATCGCAGCACTATTGAGCTCTGATTCAGACAAGTTAGCTCTTATCGGAATTCCCAGTTCGCATCGGTGTCGTATCCATTACCTTTCCTACAGCAGACTCTCCTGGGCGTGCGTCAGTGTCGGCCGGCAGCATACAAGCAGCGGGGAATAACCATACCCAACAAGACCAGTTTGAATTGTGCAAAGCGAGTATTCAAGCCGCGACCGGCAGCAGGCCCTGTCCGAGAAGCCATTGCGGGAATATATGGGGTGCGGATAACGGAGTAGGGCGCAGATGCTGGCTGCGCGGTTGTCACGGATCGGGGGACGTCAAAGGAGGCCGACGGACGGGGGCTTCGGCGTAGGTATCGTTTCGAAAAGGAGCTCAGTACGGACGTCGATGGAGCACAAGTTGCAGAGGGGGAGAGAGGGCGTCGTGGAACGGTGAGGCGATACGACGAGGTAGATACTAGGAGTTTGATAGCGGTAAGGCGAAATGATGGTGTTGGTTGGGAGAGATGCCTGGGGTTTAACTTTGGTCACTGCCTAGATAGACATCTGATGAATGAAATGACCAGGAAAGCTTGACGGTTCCAGCATGAGCTGAGTGGGACTTTAGCAGGTCGTTAGGGGGGGCTCTCGCTATATCACCCTGTTGAAAGGACCTGGCTAGAAGGTCAGGTGGCAGCAAGATCTGCGGTATACCGTACCTAGAGTGGGGCGGGGATTCGCACCGTCAGAGATACCATACTGCGATGTATGTACAGAGTACTTCCTACGTAATGCATGTATACTTATGGATACATGTATTCTCTCGAGTTGTGGGTGTCAGTTTAGGTAACTGAGCTGACTCTCTATGGACCTAGATACATATGGTGGGGTCTAGAGCAGACTGCATGGTATGCGGCTTATAAGAATATGTATGATGACACCTGGATTTCTCAAACCTACACATGTTCAGGAGCTTCGATCCAAACTATCTACCTAACCCAATCCTACCACCAAATCCGAAGTGCGACGGCAGCTTGAGTGCTACAGATTTCCCTCCACCGATATTATCTCCCAGGCTTTGGAGTCGCAGGTCTGTACTGTAATCGTGTCAAGTCCTAGCCCACCACCAACCCGCCCGAGCCTCTCCATCCTTAGAGCTATGAATGTGCGCCGGGCTGCTCTATATCGTGGCCCAACATGACGCTTCCTTACCGGGACATTAATTTCCACGTTACCGCCGATTCATACACCTTCACCTCACCCTCTTCACCAAATGCTCCAGCTCTAGTCATCGACAGGCCAACAGGCGATGTCCGTCTAAGCGAAACCGCCTCTGTGAACAACAAGCGCATCGCTCGTGTCTCTAGCATAGCCGGTATCCTGGGTGTCATTCGACTGAGGCTAGGTAGGGATTTCTCTTCAACACAATCTGGAAATCAGGACTGATCATCTGAATATAGACAAGTATGTCGTAGTCATCACGAAGGCTCAGCCCGTGGGCCGCCTTAAGGGGCACATGGTGTACAAGGTCATCTCAACAGAATTCCTGCCGGTGCGAAAACGTCCGATCCACGACCCCGACGAAAACCAGTTCTTGTTCCTCTTGAAATCTTTCATCATGACCGGACCTATGTATTTCTCCTATTCGATCGACCTCACCAACAGCTTCCAGAGGCAGGCCTCCATCGACAACTCTGCCCCTCTCTGGATGCGCGCCGACGACCGCTTCTTCTGGAACAGATTTGTCCAGACCGATCTGATCGATTTCCGAAAGATGGGAAGTCGATCTCAGCAAGGCCCGCAGCCCGCCGTCGACCCTTTCATCTTACCGTTAATATGGGGTACCATGGAAATACGGCCGACCAAGTTTAAGGGGACACCCTTGACCATTGTTCTTATCACCCGAAAATCAAGATATCGAGCTGGAACCAGATACTTCACCAGAGGTATCGACGAAGAAGGACACGCCGCCAACTACAATGAAACCGAGCAAGTCGTGATCTTGAACGACACAGCTGGTGGTTTAGGAGGATTCGCAGGAAGCGCCGACATGCAGAGTGGCAAGTTCGGGGCTTCTGATGGACGGGAGATGCAGATCATGTCATACGTCCAGACCCGAGGAAGTGTTCCCGTCTATTGGTCGGAGATCAACGCTCTCAAGTACACCCCGAAGCTCCAGGTCCGCGGGATCGAGACGGCTCTCTCTGCCGCCAAAAAGCATTTCGACGAACAGATTCGCATATATGGTGACAACTACCTCGTCAACCTAGTCAACCAAAAGGGGCGTGAAAAGCGCGTGAAGGAAGCCTACGAAAAGATGGTAGACATGCTTGTGAGCTCGAAAACTGAAACGGTCAGTAAGGACCTTCTCACCGACGAGAAGTTCCGTATCATCGAACCCAGTACCTCCAAGCAAGAATTCGACCGTCTACACTATGTCTATTTTGATTTTCACCACGAGACCAAGGGACTCCAGATGCATCGAGCGATGATGCTCGTCGACAGGTTACACGACGCATTAATAGCACAACAATATTTCCGAGGCGTCGACATGCCTGCAAACGGTGGGCTAGAAACTAGAAATTTCCAGACGAGCGTTGTACGGACGAATTGCATGGATTCGCTTGACCGGACCAATGTAGTTCAAAGCATGCTTGCTAGGTGGACTTTGGATCGTATATTCGTAGACTTAGGTCTGCTTCAGCGAGGCGAGACCTTTGCCACCGCAGATCCAGCTTTCGAATTCCTCTTCCGCAACCTCTGGGCAGACAATGCCGATACGGTATCCAAAGCGTACGCCGGTACTGGAGCTATGAAAACAGACCTTACACGCTTGGGTAAGCGTACCAAGCAAGGGACTTTGCAAGACGGCAATATTGCCGTGACCCGATACTATCTAAACAACTTCCGAGATGGGCCCAGGCAAGATGCTTATGACCTGTTCTTGGGTGCTTATGAGCCCAACACAGCTAACATCGGCTCGTCGCCCATATTTGCCGACCGTAGACCGATTTTTATCCAAAGCATACCCTACATTCTCGCCTTCAGCATATTCTTCGTCTTCTTAGGTCTATTCAGCAAACGCCTCCCGGACTCTGCCGTTCTACCCATGCGTCTATTCATCCTCTTCTGGTGTCTAGTGGGTGCTTGGAGTCTAAACTTCATCATCCAGAACGGCATGCTCTATGTAAGTAACAGCCAGCTACTAATACTCGATAACACATTCCACTTGACCCAATCCGACGTACTGACACTATTCTTAGGTCAACTGGCCAAAGCTGAATCCACGGCCGTGGGCTCTAGAAGGTTACCAAGAGACGATCGGAAAGGTCAGGAAAGGCAAAGGGATCGGTTCTTTTGTCGCAGGGCACGAACGTGGACTCAGCACGGCGAGATACCTCAATGCAGAGGAAGGAAAGAAGAGGATCGAGTAATAGACGTGCTAATTTCGGTATTTTCGCTTGTCGAACGCTTCGAAGCGAGGGTCCACTAGTTTCTCTGGCTCGGACCCTTTCGTCATTGCGCTTCTTATTTCGGGAGACAGATCCTTTGCCGACTTCGTGCCCCGGCGTTTGTTGTAGACATTCTTGCTCAGCTGTTGTTATATATCACTTAGGTCTTTAATTGGAAGCTTCAACATATTCGTACTATTACCTACCATACGTATACTTGTCTACTTAAGCGGCTCACGCCTAGAGGCCAGTCAAACCTTAGGAACAGGCAAATCACGAAAAATCAAAGAGCATACCGGCGCGTGGGCTGGAGGGAGAAAAATATATCAAAAATAACCACAAAAATGAAGACGCTCTCGATCGGGGAATCGAACCCCGGCCACCTGCGAATTGCCGGATGATGACAAGCAGGTATCCTTACCACTAGACCAATCGAGATTGATGGTATGCGATGATGATTATTCTGTCCCTGATGCGTGGTTAACTACAAAATGTTCGTCATCGCCGGCTGCATTCATTTCCTCCAAGTGTACCTATCCCCTGCATTTGAAAATCATGGACACTAGAAATCTTCTTGGCACTATCCAGATTGCATGCTACACCATCGGAGTGTCACTGCCTGAGTATAATGCACGGGCCGGCCCAGAATCTAATAAAGAAATCGGCTAGGTGGCGGAGTGGTTAACGCGGTAGACTCGAATCCATACGTTATCTACTTCCTTCGGGAGCGTCTGTTCGAATCAGGCCCTAGTCGAGATCGCATTGTCCTCCTGTGGACAGATCTTGATTTTTTTTTTGGGTTCGCGACAAGAATCACTCTTTTGGCAGTTAGGGCAAAGGAATGAGGATTAGGTAGGTAGTCCGACCAGCCGAATCAAACCTTTCGCTTTCTCAGTATTCCCATTCGTATTCAATCGGATCACAAGCCGGCGGCGGTTAACTGGTTCTCCACAGAATCACTGGGCGAATGGTCTAGGGGTATGATACTCCCTTCGCATGTCTGAATCTTCAGCGGAGTTTGGGAGGGGTCCGGGGTTCAATTCCCCGTTCGTCCAACGTTTTGCCAAACTTAAGGAGAACGCTGATGATATTTTTTTCTCCAATTGTAGTCATAATTCATAGTTTCATATAACTAGGGAACGAGCTCTTTCGGGTTCGTGAGGGGTTTGCCGCAATGGAGAGCGAGCGATTTTGGAGGATGGGGACAACACGCCGCGATTACTCCTGGTCACCTCCTCATGCGGTTGTATACCTACCTACGGCCACGGCAATAAAACGAGTCTCTGCGCTGCCGATCGCCAGTACAGCTGTAATTGTACCTTGCATTGTAGCGACGTCGATGACGACGTGACCAATCCATCTGTCAACCCTACGGCTCCTCACTCATCCAACGCTAACCTCATCTAACGGCATGAGTAAATGCGAGCGTGATAGGATGTGAATCTGAGCCTTTCTCAAGATTCTATATAATCTTTATGCAAGAAAGGGATGTCTTAGATACCTCTGAAACTAAAGGTGGCCGAATCAGGGCCTAAATAGATCTGCTAGGCCCTCGATTACCTGAGGACCGCCAATCTGATGATGTCTGTAGCGTGACTGATCCTCGCAAGGCGTACGAGTCCTAAGGGTCCATATGCATCGCGACCAACGCGGGTGCAATCGCCGAGTAATGTAGTAACGCTTCAGAGGGACTACGGCTCAGTCGAAGAGTCGATAAGAAAAGCCCATACACACTTGCCCGGAGCTCTATCCTACTTATCACATATCCCGAGAGCGGAAGAATGTCATGAGACACCTAAGCGATTACATACCTCTTAGCTTCAAAATTCACTACCATGGAGTTGGATGTCATGAAAACACAGATTGAGGCTGAGACGTAAGTACCCGCAAGAGTGGCTGTTGCGATGCTCATCTCTCCAGATCTTCTCACAACACAGAATGTTTAATCCAATTATTTACCGGTAGAGGAACTGCCTTATATCTATCTTCTCGATTAGATTACCCGTCATTACATGGCAAATGATGGATGATACTTTGTAGCGTAGGTTAGAAAAGCGCAGTCCTGAGGTCAATAATGTTATAGAACACCAGATCAGCAGGGATCTAGCTTACAGATCGGAATACGAGATGTTCGTGTAACAAATAATCAAGGCAATCAGTGTCCATAGGTACCAATCCCATATATGCTCTCGACACATTTATGTAGTGTGACATGAGTGCATTGTTTACCAGGGATTAACACCAGTCTTCGCATTGTTATTCGTTTCTTTCTAGTGAGAGCAAATAATGAATAAATGAATATGTATTATCTCACGATATGCCACGGGGTGTACTACGTTTCCTCAGATGTGATATGTCGTCGAATTCTGGATCTGCATTTTGCCACAATGCCTCTGGTAGGTCTTAAGAAGCGATAAGTATGATAGCCAAGGCACAATGAAAACAATCAATAGACCATTTACAGCTTAAAACATAACAATCACTTCTCTTATGGTCTAGCGGTAATTACCTGCTTTATTGTTAGGTATCTGTGCCTATTTTCCCTCCCCAAGGTAATACTGAGACATCCTCGCACAAGCCGCTCGGACCATCTCGAGGTGAAAATTCTGACCGTGTCTTCATTGTGCGGCGGTTTGTCATTCAAGCACCTGCATTTAATAGACTGCACGAGGTAAGGGTCGATATACCAGCCATGCACATGCAATCACCCTATCTATATAATTGTGTTCCCTTCCCCCCCATATCTGTGTTGACCTCACTCCAACATCCCTCAGAAAACCTATCCCTAATTAGTTCTCTATCACCACTCGAGAGCCGACTTCAAAAGCAAGGCCAACAACACCACAGAATCTGTACAGCCTGGCTCTCAGCAATCTCAAGAGATATTCATTCTTGGCTCTCGATTCAACAACTCGGGTAATTATCTCCCAAATTCCAGCCTCAAGCCCGGATTGAGTCTTTCTTGTATCCCATCCCCAAGCAGACATCTCAACGCGTTCCTTTAATGACACGACGGACAAATATTTATTGACCGCGCTGACCCCGATGTATGAGCAGATCACTGCCTACCTCTTCTTGCAGATTGCATCTCCGCTACCTTGACAGGCCAGCGCTCAAGTCCCATCAATCGAACCCCCACCTAATCGGTATTAGACGACTCGTCTCTTCCCCGCATCAAACAACGCGTCTCTCCCCCCACAAGCGAGAGAAGATGTGCCGGCAAATTTATCTGTGTTTCCATGACTGCCCCTGCGAGCTGCAGTACCGGCTCGAGGAGTGCCAGTATGGAAGATCCGACCCGCGGTGCCAGGCAGTTCAGACTTCTCTGAAGTAGAGCAACAGAGGCTACTGCCACTGGCACCAGCGGTTGAATGACATGCAGGACGAGGCGTCTCACAGAGGCGGCCGAAACTGCCAGTCCAAGCATAACCAATCCAAGCAACGCCGATACGACATCTCCCCTTATCACGAGAGTCCCGTCGACCTCGACAAGTATGACGAGGAGATGAACTCGACCGATAAGTCGAACGGCAAGGATGAGGGTTGGGCTGTTGCCGGCAATCGCCGGGGAACGAAGACGGCGAGGCAGCGCGAGGGCAAGAAGCCCGCTTTTCGCCCTTTCGCCACGGGATGTGCGGCGAATTTCGAGATCTTCGGTCAGAAGAGCCCGAGCAAGACGGATCCCTGGGAGCGATATTAGAGCTGCCACGGCTGCTGCTGTGTGGGACAACAGCAGAACGCATCGCCACATACGCCCGACGTTCCTCTTGTCACATCATGTCCGGCCGCCGCCACTACCAATTATGAGCTTCCCATTGCTAGCATTACGTAGTTGGCGGTGATGGCGGGACGATGGGACGATGGGACGTATATACGGATAGGTTCTGAAAACTACCTATCCTCCCATTCTGAATATGGCGTCATTTCGGATCAGGGTACCATTCGCTATAAATACCAGAAAAAAATATAAAAATGAGGGTGGAAAATCAAAAAAAGAAATCAATCAATGGTGTCATGCTCAAGATGGGGTGGAACAGCAGGGCAAACGGAATCGGACATCGGATATATCAGGGCAAGAGTTGTCCCTCTTTCTCTCTTGCACATTCGGACTATCGTTGATATAAAGCGAAGACGGACATGTGGAGATATATGGGAGATTCAATCAATGCTATAGAGTACTAGTAGTAGTACTACGAGGTAGATATAATCAATAATGCATGGAAGGTGTGCCTGAGAAGAGATAATTGCTTCAAACAACCTTGGTTTGCAGTGTATAAATGAGATATATATCAGTTGAAGTGTTTGCTGCCCATTGAAGGGAGACACCTAGTTGCGTCCTTCTGCTGTGACTTGTCAGGGCCACGGAGTGATGACTGACGTGAGGCGTTGGAAGTGAGGCGAATAAGAAATTTGGTGGCACGCCCACTTGCTAGATTGATGGAATTTGAGAGCATCTTGTACGTTCTTGAGAGAGGTACCCTGGCCTAGGTACTTCGTACAGGAGGTGGGTACCTCTCAAACAGCTAGCAGGGATCTAAATTAATACCCATTTCCGTTTGCTCGCCGTTTGTTGGGGTCTGTGCTTGTTCACGCAACACCCAGCTTGCTGATAGCGCTCTATCAAGAGTTGGCATTGCCCATGTAAGAATAGCTACAAATTCAGTGGTGTCATTACATTGCAAAGCCAAGACAGCTGCTTATCTTAACAGGAAACCAAGTCTGCTGTGCACACCTATTCAAGCCCTTGCTCCCTTGTTGTTGCTTCGTTGCAATGGCACGAGTGAGACAAATCCTGACCAAAGTTTAGTGGAGGTTTGATGCATAAGGTAGATACTGTGCTGTAACCCAGGTTGCCTCAAATATTGCGACCCACTCACATAAGGACAAGGATAGCATGTGAATTTCGTGCAGTAGATTCGATATGCGTACTTATGCATGGCAGGTTTTCAGCATTTAGGATTAGTCCATTGATATTTTTTAATGGGTGATGAGAGAAGGTTTTAGAACTTGCATTTCTTTCGAGTGGAAATGGGTAAACAACTGATCAGTGATGAGATGCCGAGCAATGGTTAGAAATGATCTGGTGATAAGGTATATATATATGTCTGCCTTCGAAGAGAGACACCGGGGAGAGGCAAGACTTGTTGCATTTTCAATTGTACTCAAGTAGTAAGTATACTGTATTCGCCATTTGAGAATCATACTCTTTCAAACTAAGTCTCCCCCTGAGACTAAAATCTTGTGGAGTCATGACTCCAATTCGATCCAGAGATGGTTCATACCTAGCTAGCACCACTCGGACCTATTCCCCTTGCCAACCATGAATGCCGTGTAGGAGTATGGCCGACGCCGCGGTGAGGCGATCTGTCAAGGCAATTGATGTCTGCCTACATCAGTTGGTCATTGGACAGTCCAGCTTCGACGCCTAAAGGATACCTAAAATGCGAATTGAGAGCTTTAAAAAGAAGGAGAATCACCATCATATCATCATAGTAGATGTAGGTACAGAATACAATTGGTTTAGGTGGCCCTTTGCTTTTTCTGACCATGCAGGAAGCTTCCGGAACAGCATGTTAATCCCTGTCAGCAGGCTGGCTTGGCAAGACAATCCCCTGTGAGTTCGCCCTGCAATCCATTAAACCCCTGCTATCCAGCCCACTGGGCGATTCCTCTTAGCTCCGCTATGGATTTCTAGCGCAGGCTTATCACAGCCAACTTGGGAGAGACAGAGCTGGGCTGTAAAAGGCGCTAATCCCATTTTGGGCTTAATTAGTCAGGTGATTTCGTGCAAGTATCCCGTTCTGCCAGACGCGTGAGCCGACATCCCATCGCTGCTCAAGCGTGTTTGCCTGAAGATGCCGGCTGCTTTTTACTACTACCGCAGGCATTCACGCAGCAGCGTAGCCTTCCCCGACATGGGTCGCCCGCTATATAATGAGGGCGCCCCCCCAAAAAATTCTCCTCTTCTATTCCTTCAAACTGAAGGGGCTCAACAGGTAGGCAAAAGGCACCCCCCATTTCATCGTCTGTTTTTAATTTCTATCATCAATTTCAT